AATCTTATCATTTTAACTATGATATATCAAAAATTAAAATTAAGAAAATGCCAAAAAAAAAATATTACTTCTTTAAGTAGACTAGAAAAAATAGTACCATAAATAAATTGAAACGAGGTCACTATAACTTGTAAGTTTGATGTTAGTAACAGATGGAAAGAGTGTGGAAAGAAGTGTTTCTGCTGTAAATTGGATGCTCACATTAATATGTTTAGTGGTGTAAGATTAATACACACATAAAATGTCATGTGGTGTATACTAATTAGCCATTTGATATATTTGGTTCCCAAAGTATATACATGGCAAGATGATATCCATGTATTACACTTTGGGCACAAGTAATACAACTATATATATCCCTATTCTTGTAAAAAAAAAAAGGGCAAGAGTAAGTGAAAGAAATTACTACGCATACTTCTCATCTTTCTTATGATTTTAATATTTTGTCTTTATTACGAAGTTCTAATCGCATGTTGATCTCTTACTCCAAAGGTTTTTTTTAATTTAATTTCTTCACTAAGAAAAAAAATAAAATATCATTATTGAGTAGTTTATATATTTATTGATTTGGGTGATTAAAAGTAATATGCTTGATATAATCTCATATTGATTCCATTCTCTTCTATTCTTTCCTAAAATTCATTTGTTTTTGATCTTTTTTTGTTGAATCTATAGTTACTTCTAATCGGCTATTTTTTTAGGTGAGATTAAATTATTGGACTAATTGAATCATTACTAGTAAGTTCTTTAACATTATTCTTGAAGTTAAAAAGGCCAATAATAGATACTATGAGTTTTAAGAATTAAATCAAGTTGTTGGATTGTTTCTTGTTCTCGTGATAATAGAGTATGATTCTTGAAGATCTTGATATTGCAATTTTCCACCATGGATAATTTATCGTGGCTTTTATATATTTATTTATACAAAAAAAAAATTGTAATATGAGAGTCAAGGTAAGTTAAGTTTAAATTTGATTTTGCTATGAAGTAATTACTTTCTTTAGAACCAAAGAAAGGATTTGATTTTTATCATCAATATATTTATATTGCAGGCAATTAATAGATGCCTTACATAAGATTCATATTAAATCACATACTTATCAATAAATTGATGGAAAGACTTCTTAATTTACAAAAAGAATGATATTATTGTTCAATTCTTATGTCTTGTTGAGATCTAATTGCATATTCTCCGTTTTGAAAATCCTATATTATTTTTCCTTATAAAGGTGATGTGGGTTACTGAAGGAAAGTTGCAATTATTAAAACAACTCTACTCCCTCCTTGTAAAGGAATTGTACTACTGCGAAAAAAAAAGGGAGGGACTATATATAACTTGAAAATAATTTATCTTAGTATTATTTCTACTAGAATATGAAGAAATTATTTTAAGCCTTTGTTTCAACTTTTACATTGAATGTTTTATATATTAACAACTTACTGTATTACATGTGTTATATAAAGAGATTGAATACATTAATTTGTTTGACTTTAACAATTTTTAAACTTTGATTTATGTAATTCTAACAATTTTGTTTCAAAAGAGAAGAGAATTGAAGTATAAAAGAGCAAATTTATTTTGTTTCTATAAGTGAACATAATATTCTTTTAAATGTTTATGAGTGAATCATGTTACACCTTGACTTATTACCTCATTGGTTAAGGGTAAAATGATGAATTCAAGTTTCATCGAATCAAGAAGGTAAGATGTTGGATTTAAGTCCTAATGCACCATAGTGATGACATAATGATGACTGAGCAAACTAATGTGCTCTTGATGAAAATTATGAAACACATGATTTTGCTCCATTCTCAAAAATGAATGTGGTAGCAGTACATGATAAGTCTAAAAGATGACTATGAGACTGTATAATGAATGTGGGTGTAACAAAAGACAAATTAATAATAATCATCATTGTGGTAAAAATGAAGAACACTGTAATTTTTCCAAATAGTCCTTCAAAATATGAATGTCATCAAAATGGTATGAAAGGTCATTAGAAACATGTTTGATATGAGACCTAATAATTTGATAAGTTTATAAATCCTCCATCAAAGAAAAGGATGAAAAAGTGGTGATACACTTGACTTCCAAAGGTGATGTCGAGGTATGTCATATGAATATAATAAATTTCAAAGCATGACAATGAACTTCTAATGAAAGGAATAATTATGAAGCATGTATATATGATTATGGTCAATTCCTTGAAGAGAATGTGACTTGTGGCAAGTATCATGAAAAGTGGACCATTCTTGAAAATGAATGTGTCAAGAAATGATGAAAATTATAAATAAGGACATACTCATGTATGATTTAATAAATATCACAACTCACCTCTATGAGAGGTTAGAGAGAAATAAAGAAATTTTATGTTGGTACAAGTGGTCATTGGTCAAGTACTTTTAGTACATCACAAATAGTGTGATACATTTTATTATGAACTATCAAAATGACAAAAGAAGGAATAATTCTTGACCACAAAAAATTGTCATTGAATATGTATCTCTGTACGTCAAATATATTTTGCCAAATATTAAACAAAAGGGAGGAGATACTAATGACAAAAGTAAATCAAGAAACAAGTTTTGCTTGTAATGATTTTGACCATGACAATAATGATATAGATTTCTCCTTGAAAGAGATGTTCACCACAAAAACAATGTTATGAAATATGTGGTAGTATCAAATGTCAATTGTGAGCTTTGGTGAGCTATTGTGTTACTACTCAAAGAAATAAAATTGCTCATGCTATTGAAATTGTAGTAAGTCTTAAATGAAACTTTTTAAGTTTCAAAGAAATAGTAAAAAATAATAATATTGAGACTATAAATTATGGAATGATTTACGATCTTCATATTACTATAATCAAAGTGGGTTATAAATATTTATGTGAAAGATTACCCATTTTTTCATGTTTTTTGTGGTAACTAAATATGAGTATGATGATGGAATCACATGCAAAATAAACTAGAAGTTTATTGAAATAAATATCAGTTGGCATGATCGGTTGACGACCACCCGGTTCAAATACGATACGAAAATAAATGAGAATTCATGTGGTTATGTATATTGAAGAAATAATAAATTCTTCAAGAATTCTCTTGCGTTGTTTATTCTCATGATAAAATTATCACTGTACCAGCTAAGGTTGAGATTGTATCTCCCAAAATTTTGAAATATATAAAAAGGTGAATATGGGCCTGTTCACCTGTCATGTGAACCATTTACTATTAGATAGATGCATGTATGTTATGGTCACATGCACTTTATCATCAACTTGCAATTTAATTTTTGCAGAGGTTGTTTGCTCGAATTTAAATCAAGAGCACATTTCAAATTATAAAATTATAGTGATGATGCTGGTTAATATCCAAGTGGTTTAAGCAGAAATTATATGCCTTCAATTATAACTAAACCATTGGTTATGAGAACAAAACTCCCCAAAGGAATTTGGTATAAGATGTGTTATTTAAAGTGTAGCAACACTTGTACGTATTAAGCCAACAAGGTTCCCCTATCACAATTGATTCAGGGTCAGGAACCAAATAATTCTTATCTAAAAATTTAAATATGCGATATATAATTTCATTGCTCCACCATTGCACAATGCACGAAGATGAGTCCCCAAATAAGGTTGGGCGAATGTTAGATTCTCTAACATTAGGGGGAGGAATGATAAGCAACTGGAAAATAATTTATACATAATGAATTATTATTGGTATTGATATGATCCTCGTTGAAAAAATAATTTAAATCAATTGTCAGTCACATTCACTGACCCTATGTTATAATCCAGTTATAAATGCTCCAAAGAAAAATCTTTGAAGGACATAATTTATGGTATGCCTGAAGCGTAATAGATAAATCGATTCGAAAGATAAAATATCTGAAAGAAGAAAAAGAAGAGGAGCAAATGATCAAGATGGTCATAATAATGAGGCAAGTGCTTTAGAAATAGCACCATGACATAACACTTCATAAAACCTTGGCAAAGGTTCAAGTACCTGAAAATGATGAAAAATAAAGAAAATTTGATAAGTTATGTCTAATTAGAATCGATATCAAATAAACCATCGACGATATCTTTAATATAATATAGCGCTTAAAATTATAAATGGCGATGAGGATCTTGATATTAAATATGTCGAAAGTTGACAGATAAGTGATTGGCCAAAGAAAATACAATTCAAGTATATTTTTTTATTCACTTGAAAAAGTGATGTTTTGGACTTATTTTATCCATATACCAAGATATAATGTCACTGGGATACAAATGAATGAATTATTGTGCGATAATAAAATTATAAAATATAAAGCATGACTTGTGCAATTGAAAATAAAGTTTTGCAAAAGTTTTGACATAATTTTATGGATGTATTCTCCTAAGATGGATGCAGTGAGGTTGTTGACACCCAATTTTGACTGACCTTTGGCAATTTTGGAAATGCTATTTGGATTAAATACGTATTTTTAAAAATATGTCGAGTTTAAAATTTTAGTCGATTTTGTCAAAAAAAAATAAAAAAAAAATTGTATTTTAATAAGCTTGATTTATAAAAAATTATTGTATCTATTAATTAAATTATTTTATTTTTATATTTATCGATAGTTCAACTCGGAAAATAATTACCTATTTAAATGTTTTAAGAAATTAGATGTGTATAATATATGGAAATATTTTAAAATATGTAGTACTTTAATTGAATAGCATTTCTTTGATTTTCATCCAAATCATTTAAAACTTAGCCTATCTTACTCTAATCCCTTGCAATTCTAGCCATTCTAATTCAATTGTCATTTCAATTATAGCCATATAGTTGATTGCAATTTTAGCCTTTTCTTATCTCAATTTTTCAGATCTCAAATATCCTCTTTTAATCGTAGCCGTCCGTCTAAATCATATCATCCAAGATTAAATCACATGCGTCTATTCAATTTTAAATCGATGGTCCGGATTTGATCCTCTTATTTTCCTATTTTACATCTAATGAACTCCTAACCCTAAAAGATTTTTCATCCTCTTCTTCCTCTCTAAGATCAGCCGCCTCTCCCTCTTATCCTTCACCTTCGTTCTCTCCATTTTTTCCGGCGAGACAACCACCAACGAAGCCGGCAGCTGCTGGCCTCCATCGTTTCGCCATCCGCCTCCTCTCCTCTCCGCCTTTTTTCTCCTCTCTCCCGTCAGCAGCCACCGGCGAGCAGGACCAGCAACAGCAGCAGGCTCCACCGGCAAGAAAACAGCAACCAGCAGCACCTCCGACCGGCGAGGGCTCCGAGCAACCAGCAGCCGCAGAAGCCACCAGCAACAGCAAACTCCGACTCTGGCAGATACTTCTCTGGCCAGCGAACAGCAGCTCCGGCAGGTGACCTCCGGCGAATCCACAAAGTATTTCGATAAGGACAGATCTTTACAGATCTGTCCCAGGTATAAACTCTTTCCTTTAAGACTTAAATATTGATAATGTGGGCTGCTGTTCTATGTTAATATCAATATTTTCGTTAGTATATTATGTTAGAACTCCATCTTGTGTGTGTATTTAAGTCAGGGCCGTCTTAACCCCTAGGCCACTAAAGCCATCGCTTGGGGCCCCATATTTTTTGGGGCCCCCATTTTTAAAAAACAATTACTTATATATATTATTTTTAAAAATAAATAAATTATATGTACTATAAGTGCTATGATTTCTACTAAAGAAATTGCATATGACATGAATACAAATATAATTTTCGTAAGAAACAATTTGATGAAAATATGGATAACGAAATCACTAAGTCCCTCGAAGAATCTTTAGAGTTGATTACGTTATATATGTAGAGTAGATCAAACTATTTTTTCACTTTAAAATAGATTTGAACCAATTGAAGCATATAAAAATATTTTTGATTTCTTATTTAGTGGTAAAATATTGAGATTACTAGATGATGAAATTTTTTTAAAAATATTGTCTTAACCTTTTTTTTTAAAATATTGTCTTAACCTTGAACTTTCTTTAACACATACTAGTTATTCTGAATTGATGGTTTAGATTTATTTTTTGAAGTAAAAGTGTTAAAGATAAACAATACAAGTAGAAGATAATGATGTAATGAAAATACTCAATCAAATAAAAGATTTGATTCTTTTCCAAATACACATATTGTGTTAACAGTTCATAACCATTGCCTCAACCAAATTTTTCTTCGTTCGAAATTAAAATTGATTAAATCTTCTTTAAGATCAACAATGTCTCAAGATAGATTGAATGAATTAGCTATATTATCAATTGAAAAGGAATTATTAAAATAAATTGATTATAAACAATACTTAATGACTTTGCATCTGAAATAGCTAGAAAAATATATTTTAAATAAAAGAACATATGATGAAAAAAAATTTAGGGCCCCTCTCTTAAATTTCGCTTTAGGCCCCCCAATGTTGTTGAGTCGGCCTTGATTTAAGTGTAATTTTGCCACGGTTTAATATGGTTTTGATGTTCAAGCTATATGTGATTGAGTTGGGAGTTGCTATTAATAATAGTATAGCAAGAAATTGCATAATGTTCCTCTTGCTTGTTTTCCTCCATCTTGAATCTGATTTTGGCAGATTTGGATAGAGATTTTAATTAGCTTCATGATCATTGTGATTATACCTTTATTTGTTTATCAATATTGCTCTTGTGACAATGACTGTTGGTGTAAACTGTTTATAGGATACGATTAATATATTTACGCCTTCTTGATATAACAAAATCGATAAGCCTTCACTGTCCTTCCTTCTACATAAAATATATACATATAGGTCTCCTTGCTTGAATTTCTCCATAATTCCGATTTTAGTTGATACCTTTATTGGATTCTTTGTCTTATATTTGGACTAATGCTTGCTGGTTTAACTTGTCACCTAATTGACAATTTGAAATTAATTCTTACCGTATGCCACTCTATTTTTACTTGCCCGATTGACGTATTTTGAGCTGTAATCATGCATTCCCTTTGAATCAATTATCACTTGTCTTACTTGATTTCACATATCATCTGTCTGTAAATTGAGCATGTTACCTTAATTAAAATTGGTAGATTTCTTACTTGTTTATATATGGTAAAAAATAAATCAAAATAAGTCTAATTTTGGCTCTCCTTTAAAATAAGGAAAATTTATTATAATTGACTCATTGTTTATTTCCTTTCCTTATGGTAGTGCCCTCTCACCCAGTATAAATAGGACCCTTCCGGATACCTCTAGGGGGTCACTCACGGTTAAATACTCTCATACTTAGATTACATCTTGACTTTGCTCAATACTTGAATACTAAAAATACATATTGCTCTCTCTATTCTTTAAAATAGAATTAAGTTTTCCGGTAAACAAAAAGCTCCTCTATACTTGCTATTTTGCTGTGTTTGGGTCGATTATTGGATTAAGTGTGGATCTTCATTGCTGATTTCTTTTACTGCGTAATTGGTTAGTTCCTTTTTATTAGTTAATCTTATTTTCTGCATTGGTCGTATTATACATGGTTGAAATAAATAAAAAGGAGCATCCGGGTTAGTTTCCTTATCCCTCACTCCGAAGCGTGGTTTTATATGACTTGGTGAATTGCGTGTGTTTGCTGTAAATTATTTTATGTGTCTATCTAATAGTTATTATCATGCTAAGATCTCGTGTTGAGTTTTATTCTATTAAACAGGTTTCGAACTTGAAGTTCAAATCGAAGAGTCGCCATGATACGAGATTACTCAATTTCTGTTTTTTTTTTTTTACTTTGTACTTATTATTTATTGCGGTTTGTAATAATCTTGTAGCAACTCTAACTCCATTATATACGTGAAGTATTTTGGGGGATCATCTAGGGGGGAATGGAATATGTGCTAATTGTTTCCTTTTTCTTAGTTTTATTTTTACTATGTGTGATTGTTATGAATAATCTACCTATTGCTAGAGTTGTAAATCTGGAAAGCATGTCAGAATATCGCAATAATGGACTTAAAATCAATCCTTTACGTGTACAACGTGCCTTGTTTTAAAACCAATCAACTCGTAATAAATTCAAGTATTTGCGCAATCTGCTTTTCTGAATATTTTTGTAGCATCTTAATTAGTTGACTTGAATCAATTAAAGTTTAAACGGATTTAAGCAATTGCTGCATGTTGACTAACCAGTTAAATAAACCAGATCGCTAATGAACTTTAAATAAATAAATTTTGAATTTGTTATAATCTACTTCTTTTTTTCTGTATTAAAACGTCTCGCCAGTGCTAGATATCATGCCTATAGGATTTATATAAATTTTGATATAATTTGAGCATAGTGTTTATGTATTAAGATCAGAGATTAATTTTGGCTTGTTCACTTAGAAACCATGCTTGTAGGATCTAATAATTAAGTTTCTCTTTTGAAATTTTTGCACGTTAATGATTTTAGAATGTCTTAGAAATCTTGCCCATAGGATTTAATTAATAAAGTTGATATTGACTAATCAATGAATTTTTCATCATGTTTAAAAAATAAGTCGGCTGCACATCTCTTGCTCACTGTTTTGCTAATCCCGCATCTGCAATAATCTTCTGGTCACTTGAAGTAAATCAATTAATCTCCAGCCTGTTTAATCTTAAAATCTGTCTTTGATAAAATCTGCTACTGTTCTAAAAAGCAATTTTCTACTTTTGCTATGTGTTTACCCCAATTAAAATCAGCTATTGATTAATTTCTGCATTTAATAAATTGTTTGTTATTTAAATAGAAAATCGGCATTAATAATCTGATCAACTATTGCTCTAAAAATTTTATGTCATGCATTCGTGATAATTTTCTGCCGCTTTTAAAATTAGTTTATAACTGCAATTCACTATTTTCTGCATGTGTAATAATATTTCTGCCATCTAAAATCAGTTAAATAACTATCTACATGCTAAAAATGTCTGTTAGTAATTCTGTCTGTTCAATTTGTTACTGTCGTTATGCTACTTGTTTACATGCACACACTTAGCATGAAATCCTTTCACTTTACTTGTGTTTGCTAGCATAATAAATAAAATCTAGAGGCCAACTTGAGATTTTATGTGCTAAATGAAGGTCCTATTTGTTTGACTTGGTGTCTAGGTGGGCCTATTATATTTTGTTTTGTCTACATCCACCATAATAGTAGTCCAATGCCTCTCGGACCTTAAGTGGGGACGCTAGGCACCTTTTAGAGACGAAAAGCATGCGGTGGTGGGGTAGGGGTAGTTTAGGCCCTATGGATATGATGACATCGACTCGGGCTTAAAGCGACAAACCTTGATTTTGTCTGTCCCTACACGGAAGCCTATAAAAAAAATAAAGTCAAGTGCTGATCCTAAAGTCCTTCAGAGTCTCCCTTTCCTTTTCTCCCTTTACTTGTTATAAATATTTGGGGTAGTTTAATATAAAAAAAAATAAAAATTTATTCTATCTCCTCGCTTATCTTTTTATTGTTTGATATCTATTTGTTGACTTATCACTTAGTCTTGCATGCCTATCTAATTAACTAAAGTGCCCTTAATTGCTTAATATTGTTATCACCTAGTTTTCGCATGCTTAATTAAATAAATAAATTGATCTTAATTATTTAATATTAGTTACCACTTAGCAAATCATGTTAATTAATAAAATAACAAATGATGTGACCATACTTGCTACTTGTAACTCCCACATATTGCATGAGACACGGCCGGGACCCACATTTGTGGACCTCGAGGGATGCCTAACACCTTCCCCTCGAGGTAATTTGAACCCTTACCCTGATCTCTGGTTCGTTGACCTTAGCTAGACTTAGTTAGGTTAGATAGGTGCCCTAACGCGCCTTAATTCGTTAGGTGGCGACTCTTCAATCATCCAAAAGCCCAAAAGAGTTGTTAGGTCGTGCATTCCGAAAGGAAAGCCCGTTTTGAGAAAAACGGGGCGCGACAGAGGTTTCTTTCAGTCCGACAATATATGAAAAACTTGAATACGCATAATGAATGGTTATCATGTCTAGCTAGATAGTAAATATTATATGAAAATCCCCGAAGGATTTAAAAGGTTACAAAGTGATTTCATTGAATAGTACCCCAATGATTGTAAGATCGGATAACATAAAGATCAATTTTGATCTCATTAAAATGGTTAGAAAGTACCATGTCATAGTGCAATTGGTGCACTTATGTATCCTTCTATTATTATTCATGGCAAATAATTTTATTAATATGCATGCAAAATCTAACATCATTCTTATCGGTGGAGATATTAGAGTGAATCAAATATCGATATAAATTATTTATTCTAACTAATCATGTCAAGGTTTATAGATTATGAAATTGCAAGAAATCATTTGGTTATATGAAGTTTTGATCTTCAGATAGCTATCAATATTCATGTAGAAATATTGTCATATCATATTATTCTACAAGACAATCAATTTTATTATCATGAAATCTCTGTCACTTGACCATTGCTACAAACAAGTCAAATGAGCAAAATATATTTTACCAAAGTTCTTCTTATTCATGATCTTCAAAAGAAGGAATGTAGCCGATGTTCAACACTTCGTATTCACCAAGGCATTATCAACTTCAACATTTGAGAAGTTGAGATATAAGATTGGACTGCGTCATCTTCGAGTTGTTAAGTGATGTTTTAATCAGGGGGAGTATAATACGCGTTGCAATCTTTTTCCCTTAGCCTAGGTTTTGTCCCACTGGATTTCCCTGGTAAGGTTTTTAATGAGGCAACTATCAATGTGTATTACAACTTACAAGATATGTGTACTATTTTTCCTTCACTAGGATTTTTTCCATAGGATTTTTCCTAGTAAGGTTTTAACGAGGCACATTATGTATTATGACATGGGCATCCAAGGGGGAGTGTTGCAAATTGGATGTCCACACTAATATGTTTAGTGGTGTAAGATTAATACACACACAAAATGCTATGTGGTGTATACTAATTAGTCATTTGATATACTTGGTTCCCAAAGTGTATACATGGCAAGATGATATCCATGTATTACACTTTGGGCACAAGTAATACAACTATATATACCCCTATTCTTGTAACAAAAAAAAGGCAAGAGTAAGTGAAAGAAATTACTACACACACTATTTCTCATCTTTCTTATGATTTTAGTATTTTGTCTTTATTTTATAACAGTTTCATTATTTTTCTATTTTTCAATGATTTTTAGCTTTAGTGCAACTAGAGGTGTTTGGATTGACCTCAAAAGTTGGTCAAACCTACTCTTGAATCAGGTTTTTACTTTTGAAAGTGTTTGACAAATATAAAAAATAACTTAAAATAAGTTAGTAAATGTTTGGCAAGGTCAAGAATGACTTAAAATAAGTTAAAAATTACTTAAAATAGGTCAAAAATAAAAAATAAATCCTACTTTTTATTTTTTGAATTAAAAGTCATTTCAATTTGATTATTTTATTTTTAATTTAAGAATTTTTTTTTAAGTCAATCCAAACAGGTTATAAGTGTAAGGATAACCCAAATGGACCTTACATTTATGTGTTCTTATTATGTGAAAATTCAAAGTGTATATTATTATTACTATATGTGGGTAATTTATTACTGTGTGTTTGATGTTTTATTATGTTATCTTAATTTACAGGACAAAGAAAATCATTTGTTTGCTTCTATGATGTGTTGATTCAATTATTGCATATTTCAAGTTCTTGATAATAGATACGAGTTTAAGAGGGATATCGATTAGGATTGAAGAATCAAAATACGTTGAATTAATAAATTAATTAAGCAGATCAAAATAAATTGACTTTCTATTATTTTTAGTCTAATTTGACTTGACACATCTCTTAAAAAAATATTATTTTACTACATCATCCCATTAAATAATGTATAAGTTCATTTTTCTTACACATTAAGAATCATTTCAATTGAGTGAAATACATTAAGAATCAAAATAAAGCATTACTCGTAAGCCAAAGATATATATACTCGTAATATATACGAAATTTGAACAGTATATATCAAAATAAAGCATTACTCCCAGCTGGCAATATATATTATATGGATAAGGTATAAGTACCGCTATATTATGATCGAAATCCCAGAATAGTTAAGACGTGTGAGATATTTGAATTCCATGTAAGCCAAAAAGGTGTACATAATATATATATATATATATAGGGAAAATCAACTTGATTTCTCTCTAATAATTTCCCTCACATTGGTTATCCAAATCCCTTCCTTCAATTTCTCGACATGATGTGATATCAGATTTTAATTTGTAATATCTCAATAAAATAAAATAAAATAAAAAAGTTATGATAACTCCTTGATGTTCATATATGAATAACAGATCACCCCCACTATATATGTAGATTACATGCATGTGAAAGTATCAATGTTGTCTTGAATTTTTTGTTTTCATTTAGTTGTCATATTTTTCTTTTCGAGTTGTTCTAAAAGAATAGATATATTTTTATAATTGAAAATAATTTAAACTTTGATTTAATTCTTATTTAAATATTTTATATTCACAATTGCCTAATTTTTTTGAGATACAAGTTTTTAAAAGAAAATTCTTTATTTTTATTAGACTTTACGTTATATACATCATCAGTGTAAACAAGAAGTTCACATGACCATCACGTCATTCAAATGATATCTACTCCTTAAAATATGAGATTTGCAATCTTAGAATATAAGACGGGTCGATTACTTGCTACAAACAGACAATGACTTGTATTATGAATCCTTTCATATATTGACGATGCATACAATTTAAGCTCTATTTATTAAATTTTATGCTCAATCAAACAACGTCTTTGCATAGTGCCACGCAGGGGCAGAGCCACCTTGTAGTCAGGGGTACTTCATCTGAATTCCTTTCGACGAAAAATTCTACTATTTATAATACATGATTAAAATAATATT